AAATGGCAAACTCCGCCCCCATCAATGGTAGGCTCCTCCCGCACATGTGGTTGTATACAGAAAACCAGTCAATAAAATTTCAAAACTTTTATCTCTGTACGTGATCTGATGACCGAGATGTATGAAATTTAGCTTGAGAAATCTGAAAAAATGGAATTTACTCTTGGGACAACCTAATATTTAGTGCAAAATTTGCTATCATTTAGCCTCCGACCACTGCACCATTCATACCAATGGCTCAGCGAGTCATGGTAGCTGTACCTCCCCCAACATTTCCTCCGAACGGAAGTAAGCGCTCTGTTGTTTTCATTTTACTCTAAGATAAGTTCTGTTTACAAGGCTACCATAATGAGCACCCGCTTCCGCCTGTGCCACCTCCTCCGGCAGCCCCTGCACATCCGGCCATGGTTCCCATAGTCCAACTACCCGTAGTAATGCCCTCTCCAACTCATCACCCAATGTCATCTGCTCCTCCAACTGCTGGGAATCCTCAAATGGTCATGGTAAGTGATTTAAATGCTTGATTTTTTTATATTCGAATTTTCAATTCTATTGTTAGTACTTCCTTTCATTCAGTCACTTTTTGTTCTTTAGCTCCCACCGGGAATGCCTCCAAGAGGCATGGTCATGAACAACCATCCCCGCCCTCCTCAACCCACAACCGGGTTACACCCAGCAGCACCACCGCCGCCGCCTTCTCTTTGGAGCACTCATCCTCCTCCACCACGAGGTGCTGTTCTCATGCCTCCTCTAAATTCACCCCCAAGTCATCCACAGCCGCAGTTTTGGGTGCATCCGTGAGTCCAGCTTCACGCTAAATTTTCACATCTCGAATTTACTCGTCTCAGACCACCAGCATTGTATGCGTTCGATCCATCATCCGATAATGGTTATGTCTGGTCCAGTACACAGAGACCTGATCTGGGGTTGCCTCCTCCACCTTTACCGTCTACTCGTGCAAATGATCAAATGCTAGACACGGAACAGTTGATGATGAAGAGAAACGAAATCATAAAGTCAGTTTTAGTTATTTTATGCTATTGGGAAGAAGTGCTACTTTTTATTAAGTTTTAGTTTTTTTATTTCTTTTCACTTTTTTACATCCTACAGTATTATTCTAGCGGAGTTGTTCTAACAAAACCATACAAGTATATGGGGTTTTGTTGTTTCTTAACACATCCACGACAGCGCCGATTTTTTGACTGCCATTTCGGACCAGAGCATATTTCGCATTGAGTTTGCGTTATTTTTTCTGGTCATCAATAGATCCTGTGGTCTGAAG